GAGGAAAACATGACCTGTGTATTTATTTTAACTAAACTTTAAGCTAAACTGCAGCAGCACAAGCATGCAACACATAGAAATAAAAAGACTTGTTGGACAAAATTATATAAAAAATTCAATTTATGCATTCAAGTGACACAAATGCATGTACAAGTAAAAGGAAAAACTATGTAAAATATATTTAAAAAACATTAAAACCTTTAAATTGTGTTAAAATATATAATTTATTGGAACTAAGCTGGAAAAATAAATATGTAGGTCATTTAGATTATAAAACATGAGGTAAAGTTCTCCTTTCTAAGTTATTTGGTGCATTTTAAATGTTTTATTTAAAGGTTCATTTATCTATTTATGCTTTTATTTCTAATTATGTCAGTGTTGGTCCTCCAAACTGCAGAACTTGGAAGAGGTAGTTCAGTGACTGAATCAGGTGTGTTGGAGTAGGGAAACRTGTAAAACATGAATGGCTGCGGCCCTCGAGGACCATGATTGCCCACCCCTGATGTAGACCATAAGGCAATACAGATTAGTTTTTTTTTCATGAATGCCTAATAATGTTCATAATCTGTGAATAAAAACAAACATTGTATGATGGAAGGATTACAAAATGTTTATGGATCTTTTGTATCTGACCGCAAAACAAAATACTGAATTCTATTGCACCACGTTGTATTGTCAATATACAACTACACTAACTTTAGAATATGGGTCTTCATTGTTTTTCAGTCTGGGACTCCCAAAGTGATGGAGGGGTGGAGCAAGGACCCCATATATATTGTTTATACTGGCATAAGTGACTTATCATTAAGAGCTGCAGTATTATGGAAATATTGCAAAAATTACAGCATTAGGCCAATTACGGTTTATGCACACAATTCAGCTGGCRTGCTCACTTAATGTGTGCATTTCTGAATGAATTACATTATTTCATGCCTCAGTTTATCARTTTGCTACATGTTGGTTTCATGCTAATGTGTGTTTAAAGACACTACTATAAAAAAGGATTAAAAAAAGTTATTTTGCAACTCCCCTGCAGTACCTCCCCATTGCTGAAGACCTCTGCTTTAGATTATTAACTTTATTTATCTTTACTATAACTCTGTAAAAAAATGATTGAACGTGTTCTTTTACAAATCAAGAAGGCAGCAATCCATTTGGTGCAATTATTCTTTTTTCTGTTTGTGATTGTATGTTATTTCAGAGCTTACAGAAACAGGTTTGTTTATTTTAGGAAACAGACCTCTGATTCAGCTGTCACCTTTGATCAAATTGTCATTTGATACAGAGTCTACGACCCCTATACCAATCAAGTGTTGTGTAAAACCTAAATAAAAACAATACGGTGATTTGCAAATCTTTTCAACCTATATTCAATTGAATACACTACAAAGACAAGATGTTTAATGTTGAAATGGATAAATTGTATTGAATTATTTACTTGTTTGAATTTAATTCCTGCAACATGTTCCAAACAAGCTGGGACAGGGCAACAAGAAAAAAAAAAAACAAACAGGAAAGTTGAAGAATGCTCAGAAAACACTTTTTTACAGCAGTCTACAGGTAAACGGGTTATTTGGAAACAGGTGATTTCATGATTGGGTGTACAGGGAGCATCCCTGAAAGGCTCAGCTGTTCACAAGCAAGTTTAAGAACAATGGGCCTCATGCAAGAACCGTTCGTACGCACAGATTTGTTCTTAAGTTGTGCGTACGAGTGATTTAGGAGAATTTGTGGCATTCACCAATGTTTTCGTATTCTACGATTTTTTTTCAGATACGAACAAAATTTACGAGTGGTCCAGACCTGTCGTATATTTTAGGAGCAGTCAGTCTGCTGTTATCCAGACGGGTTTTCTTCACTAATAACTTTTATATTTCATTAGTTTGAAGATATTTTGAGTTGAAAATAAATTACACTCCATAATTATGTTGACAATAGGTTATTCTGCTTGAATTAGAGTTATAATTTTAAATGTAATAATTTTGACTAGCAATATAAATTGTCCGTTCGTCCGTTTTCCGCCGCTTATCAGGGATCAGGTCTCGGTGGCAGCAGCAAAGAGACCCCGCACTCTCCAGCTACACCTTCCAGCTCGTCCTGGGGGACTCAAGATGTTCCCAGGCCAGAGGGGATACACAATCCCTCCAGCGAGTCCTGGGTTTTCTCCAAAGTGCCAGACTTATTTTGAAAACACTTTAAAATGCTTATTTCAGACCCGCATCTGAGACCACCTGCGCCCCACAGCGCGCGGGGTGGGGGGCACGGTGCGCAGCGCTGTGTCTTCTGAATAAATGAAAATGATTTAACACAGTTGTTTATACTTTTAGCAGCTCTTTTTATCCCACAGCTGAGCTGCTAAAAATCACAGATTTTCTTTTCTGGATCTCTGACAGACGGACTTCAATCTCTGAACTCGTAAAGTTTTTATTTTTTCAGTTTTCGCTGTCATTTTTCATGAATGAACACTTGTCTCTGAGGCAGGAAATATAGCCTTATATGGTGTTTTTGGGGTGGTAATTATGTTAATCTCCTCTCCTCGTGCACGAGCAGCTGGATAGAACAGGTGGAATTTACGCAGCTCATTTACACACTTTTCCTGAAGATAGAAGAGTTTGTTGAATCTGACGTAGCATGTTCGTACGAACCCTTTGTACGAACAAAAGTAAGAGAAATTAAGGAGAAGAATACGAACATGTTCTTGCATGAGGCCCAATGTTTCTCATTGTACAACTGCAAGGAATTTACTGGTTTCATCATCTGCAATCAATAATGCATTGCCTGGCCACCAAACAAAAGGTCACATGCTCTAATATTTCCTTGGCTWATCATTATCAAAGCCTTTAGCTTTGATTACGGCACGCATGTGCTGTGGGATTATTTCAATAAGCTTCTTTATGGTCACAAGATTTATTTCCATCCAGTGTTGAATTAATTTTTCACCAAGATCTTGCATTGATGATGGTAGAGTCTGACCACTGCACAAAGCCTTCTCCAGCACATCCCAAAGATTCTCAGTGGGGTTAAGGTCTGGACTCTGTGGAGCCGATCCTTGTGTGAAAATGATGTCTCGTGCTCCCTGAACCACTCTTTCACAATTCCAGCCCGATGAATCTTGGGATTGTCATTTTGGAATATGCCCGTGCCATCGTGGAAGAAAATAAAACCCATTGATGGAATAACCTGCTCATTTAGTATATTCAGGTTGTCAGCTGACCTCATTGTTTGAACACATACTGTTGCTGAACCTAGACCTGACTGACTGCAGTAACCCTCGATCATGGCATTTAGTTAAATCCAGGTTGGCAACTTTTTTTGGCCGGTCAATGTATCATCGAAAGATTCAGAGAATCTGGACAAATCTCTGCAAGTAAGCAGCAAGGCTGAAAACCAACACTGAATGCCCGTGACCTTTGATCCCTCAGGCGTCACTGTCTTAAAAACCGACATCATTCTGTAATGGATATTACCACATGGGCTCTGGGACACTTGTCAGAAAACCATTGTCAGTGAACACACTTCATTGCTACGTCTACAAGTGCAAGTTAAAATCCTACCATGCAAAGCCAAAGCCATATATCAGCAACACCCAGAAACAGCTTCTCTGGACCTGAGCTCATCAGAGATGGACTGACACAAAGAGAAAAAGTGTCCCGTGGACTGAYGAGTCCACATTTCAAATGATTTTTGGAAATCAAGGATATGGTATCCTCCGAGCCAAAGAGGAAAAGGACTGTCTGGATTGTTATCAGCGCAAAGTTCAAAAGCCAGCATCTCTGATAGTATGGTGGGGGTGTTAGGGCCCATGGCATGGGTGACCTGCACATCTGTGAAGACACCATTCATGCTGAAAGGTACACATAGGTTTTGGAGCAACATATGCTGCTAACCAAGCCACATTTTTTTCAGGGACGTCCCTGCTTAGACAATGCTCAGCCACATTCTGCACGAGTGTGGGTACCTTACTGGCCTGGCTGCAGTCCAGACCTGTATAATAAATTAATATTTGTGAAAAAAACAATAATTTTATCTGTTTGAACATTACATATCTTGCCTTTGTAGTGTATTCAACTGAATATAGGTTAAAAAGAATTTGCAAATCACAATTTTCTGTTTTTATTTACGTTTTACACAACATCCAAACTTCACTGAAATTGCGATTGTGTATTTTTCAGTGTAAGTGAGAGTGTTGAACTTTTGTTATTCAGATCTTGTCCCACACCTTCAACATCAGAAGCGATATGTGGTTCTACTATATTATTTTGTCTTTGAAAGAGATTTGTCTCTCAGATAAAGTTGTTTTTGTACTTTTTGTACCTCCACAGAGCCAGCTCTACATGCATCTGACAAACTACTCAGTCAACAAACACAATGAGAACTTTGAGCGAGACGAGACCGAGGACAAAGGCAGTAAGAGGTCCATTAACTGGTTCACGGAGTTCCTCCGCACCAATGACTACGACGTGGCCAAGTTCTGGGGAGACATCTCGGTACGTGTGCAGTCCACAAAATCAAATGCAAACATAAGTCTTGGTGCAGCTGAAAAGATGTGTATCATGATAACAAAAACACTTCGCAAAGACAAGCAGCAAATGTCATCTCGTTGTATACTCCTCTATATACACACTCTGTTCGTACCAACCATCACACGCTGGAGACAGTGCACAAGTAGACCAGCCAAGGTTTGATGTGATTTGTTATGACAGTGATTTGGGGAGCTTGTTTAATTCCAGCAAGTGCTCAGAGGAAACAACATTCCTGGAGGTGAGCTTTTCCTGTCTAGCTCGACTCTCAACTCATCCAAACACWTTTTTCCCCTCCTAAATAAGCTCATCTATCCCTGTCATGTGCCTTTTTTTGTCTTTTCTTTTGTCTCTTAGTTACCTCTTTCTGTTTGAGCCATCTCTTCAGGGTTCTGTTCATGTTTCTCTCCATCTTAMTCATCTTTACCTTGMCTCTTTGTCCTTAGTCATGYGGGTTGTGTTGTTCCTTGGTGKKTTTTTTTGTCTTTGGTTTAAATGTTTGCTGTCATGCTGCACTCACATTTAGAAATCTCATTGGTTGTTGYTCTCTTCAAGTATTTTTTTCTTACAGCTTTTTTTTACACTTCTTTACATTCACATGCTCGGTGGTTTACCTGCTGGGGCAAGTTCTCATTTGAGTACCAGTTCTTTGTTCTTTCTTATTATCCATCTTATATAAGCTGTTCATGTGCTCTGTTTTGTCAAGGCAGTAAAATTTTTTGTTATATATTCCACTCACTTTTCTTCAACCTGATTTTTTTTCTTTWTCATCCTTTTGAGCCTCAGTGACACACTCGAGTGTCACCCTTTGACTCAACCAGCGCATCCAAGCTCTTCTCACGCTCTCTCTCTATTTTGTTTCTGCACTTTCCTCTGATGYATCACTTTGTGGCTAGTGCTGTCTATTCACACAAACCATTTTAAATCTGCTCAGTCTTCTTATTCCTTCTTTTATTTTAAAATGTCTTACATTTTGTTCTTGTACAGACCTCGAAGGCTGACTATATTTTTGATGTCAATGGTTTCAGCCAGAGATTCATGGCTTCTTTGTCAAAAGATTGTCTAGCAGAGCTAAGAGTGTTGTGCTTTTTTATGTGAAACACTGATCTCTTTTTCAGATTGATGTTTATATTAATGTGCAGAATGTGGCCAAGGTTTGAGCTGCAAAACATTTTTAATGTTGTTATAAATTATAAGAGAAGGTTTTGACCACAGATGGAAAAATGTTGTAGTTATTTGCTGCACACAAACACAAAGGCAAAAAAAAATGCATTTAAATGACATTCCATTGGAGAGAACACTTTTTTTTACATTTTCCATAAAAACACAATAATCTAAATACTTTGAACAACACCTTTAGAGTGATATGTGTTTTTTTTTATTACTATGGTGAATATTTGAAAATAACCATAAAACTTTGTGCCTCTTGGAGAACAAAATTTACAAAGCTGCTGGGCAGGGTAATAAGTAATTTATTAGTTTATGTGTTAGTGGATTTTGATCATTTTGATTTGACGTATTCAGCTCTGACTGCAGTTTTCACAGTTTTCAGTAAAACTGTACTTTTCTATACAAAGAACCCCATTATTAAGGCATGACTAGGCCTGTCACAATGTATATATAATTATTTATTTATTTTCAAACTTTATTTCATTCCATAAAAACAAAATTATATGTACA